AATTTCTCATATTTTTTCCTTTTCCCTTATTCCCTTTCCCCTACCCTTCCCACTTTCCCTACACCTTTAGCCCTTTTCTTCCTATTTCACATTGAAATTAAATTTTAAAATAGGCAAATTATCTTAGTAAACACTTCTCAATAGAAATGTAGGGCCAGGGATTTAGCTCAGTGGTTCTGCCACCTACCTCACAAGTGCAAGGTCCAGAGTTCAATCCCTGGTGCCAAAAAAAAAAAAATGTAAAGGGCCAACAAATACAGGAAAACATTTCTCAATATCTGTAGCCATCAGGGAAATGCAGTCAAAACCAGTCAGACACCATCTCACCCTGGCTAGAAGGGCTATGATGACAATAAATAATAAGTAAAAACAAGAAATGCTCATGAGGATACGGAGGAGGGAAAACTCCTACTGTTTGACAGGATTGTAAGTACTGCCACTAGGGGAAAAGCACGGAGAGCTCTAAAAACAAACAGATCCCATCAGTTGCTCCTCTTATCCCACCTGAAAGGAAGCCAGTACGGCAGATAACTGTGTGCTCACTGTGTGCACTGCAGCCCTGTTCCGACAGCCAGACACGGAAGCAGCCTCGGCGCCCACAAGCGGATGAGCGGAAAAGGAGGCCTGGTCTAGTACACAGCAGAACAGAGGGACGTGGACGACACTGAGTGAAGTGACACAGAAACATCCGGTCCCTCACAGAACGCTGAAAACAACCACTGACCTGAAGATGGAACTGATGAGCAGAGACTGGGGAGCGGGTGGGTTTGACCAGTGCACACTAGAAAGGCACAGAAGTAGCACCTGGAGTCCCATTAATATGCACAATGCGTTCACATGTTTTTAAAAATCAGAAATAAGGGCCAGGGATTTAGCTCAGTGATTCCGCCACCTGCCTCGCACATGGAAGGTTCTAAGTTTGACCCCTGGTACCCAAAAAATGAAATAAATAAATAAAATCAGAAATAAGAATTTACTGATTAAGAGCTTGCCGTGCCTCCCAGAGAATTCAGGCATTCTTTTCTGCCTTTCCATTTTCCCTCTCCCTGGGATGTCCATACACTTGGTCATCCAAAGCGGTAGGCTTGAGAGTAAAAGAGGGTGATAGTCACAATCGTGTCACAACCAGGCGGCGGCCAGGACAGCCTGCATAACTGAGGCAGAGCCCCCTGCCCGGCTCCACCGACGCATCCGCCCTCTCCTTGGGGACTGTGCTCACCACCACCTGCCCTCCGTCCTCCCCATGACCTCACACCTCCACAGACCCCGCGGCACACGTTAGGGACATCTGGCCTGTTCCATCTCATCCTGTCTCATCCTCCGCACCGACAAGGTGGGCTTCTCCCAGTCAGGGCGCAGGTAAGCCATGGTTAAGAAGTAGCTAAGAAACTCCCGCACAGGTGAGGAGTCCTGAGACTGAAAGCTGGAAGACACTCAGGTTGTTGCTGTACCAGTAACACACAGTAGGGACAAACACACAGCCTTCCCCTTGGGTTTGTGAAGCATGAGATCCCCAGTGGGTATTAACATGCACGTGCTCAAGTCCGTTGTATCCAATGGTGCCATCTCATTGGCCCCCACATTGTCCCGGGTACTCTGCCTTCTCTAGATCCCTTACATCCAATGCAATGCAAATTCTACATGATTTTTTTAGGAGGTAATGACAAGAAAAAGAGACTCCCATGGTGAGTAAAGACACAGTATTCTCTCAGATATTTCTGGCCTGAGGTTGGTTGAAAATGAGCATGTAGCACCCACAGAGGGACACAGCAGACTGCAGCTCGTCTGTTTGTCCAGTACTTCCCAAGAATGTTAATGGCGCAAATATCAGCATTTCCTTCAGGCAGCGAAGCAGTCGCAAATAGGGAAAGTTCTGGCTCAGAATGGTGGCTTTCTGATTCACTGCTGATCCAAATCCCATCTATCTGATTTCTTCCAGTTAACACCATCATCTGGCATAAGAACCCGGAGAGGTAGCGGTTAGCTGTGACAGCTCACAGTGCCCCCTTCTGTTTTCCAGGATCAGTACAAGTTCTGCTATGAGGTGGCCCTGGAATACTTGAATTCTGGCTGACGGCATAACCGGCTCTGCGGACAAACCCTCTCCTAGCACAGAGCCAGGACGGTCGGTGGTGTTCGTGTAGATGAGATGGAGATTTCTCAACACGCTTTCTTTGCTTTGCATAATCGGCTCTCATCAAGAGCCCAGAAAGTGTCTATAAACCGCTTGCACTGCCCAGTTCCCAGCCATGCCGCTGCCTGACAAACAGAGCACACAGTCGTGAGATCCTGTCCTGCCCTGCCCATCACCGTCCCTGGCTCGGGAGAGTGGCGCCGACATCTGGTCGACTGAAGAGCACAATTATATTCTTATGAAGGAATTTGTACCTTTGGGGTATTTTTTGTGGCCCGTGATCCTCTCCTGTCGTTACAGCTGAGTGTGTGTTTTCGTTCTGTGGAGAATGCTACCTGGCATTATGATAATGTATTATTTTAGTTACTATTTGTACTTTAACACGTCGCGTAATAGAAGCTTTCCCGGCTTTCCACGACTAACCGGTAAACGTGTAATGAACAAGCTATCTTGTATGAGTCATCGTTTCTATCAGATTTGTATGGTTTCCAAGGGAAAAGCTCGGGAGGACTCAGTTCAGAAGTGCAACATGGTCAGATTCACAGATCCAAAGCTTTCCCGTGTGTTTATACTGTAAATATTTTTGACTTCATCAAATTATTTATTCATTAAAAGAAATTTTTGTGAAGCACAGTGAGTGACAATCATTTTTATGGAGCCCTGGAAATGACTGACTGTATGACTTTACCTTTGTGAATTCTCAATAAACGATGACCCGTGCCACTTGTGGTGTATTCCTGGTGTCCCAGGGCACGGGTGGAGGCCACTCCCGTCACACCAGACCACGGGGCAAGACACTCCTAGGACCTTGTCCTGCTCCGTGTCGTGCTTCTGCAGTGGAGAACCACAGACCTGGTGACCTATAAAGAGATGGGTTTCTGGAGACTGGGATGTCCCAGATGAAGGAGCTGCATCTGGAGGGGGTTTCATGCTCTGTCACACATGGTCAAAGCCCAAGCGGGCACACGGGGGGCACAACAGGTCGAGAGCATGAGGGAGCTTTGGGTACAAAGCCACTGCCAAGGCGACCTGCCTGCTCCTTCTGTGATGACCTTCATCCATTAAGGTCACCTCTTAAAGGGCCTGGCCTCCCGACAGTCACAGTGATGGTCACATGTCACCACTAGTCTTGGAGGGATGAGTCACAGCATCCCTGGCTGCCTGACACAGGCGTGGTTGGGGCTCTCAAGAGGCAACCTTTGTCAGTCAGACTCCAGGCTTGTCACAGTGCCCTGCCGGTATGAGTGTCACCGTGAACATGAGTGCTGACCTGGTGGGACAGGTGACAGGGCAGGGACCTGCCGGCTGGGGGCAAGCTCTTCCCTTCTGTGCCACCTCAAGGGGGCATCAGACCTGTCCCTTCAGCCTCACCCTAACGGAAAGCATATGCCAAGAGTACAGCTTGTAGAGGACCATGGAGTCAGTGCAGGCTACGGACAGCAGGACACAGAGCTAAAGCCACTTCCTGATGAACCCAAACAGAACTTCAAGAGACGAAAACTGCAAAGTCAGGTAACAAAATATGCTAGATTAGAAATCAATCAACTTGAAGCCATCACTAGAAACAATTCAAAAATTTAAAAAATTAAATGAACAGTAGAAGTAAACTGTTGGGAGTCTCTCTCAGCTGTGGATTTACAAGGGGTAGAAAAAATTTGAGGTGATAATGACCCAAAATTTCCAAACTGGGTAGAAACCAGAGGTCTAAGAAGCTCATTAAACCTCAGCATAAAAATCATGAAGACCCCCAAGGTACCATCATAATTGAATTGCTTAAAACCATTGGCTAAGGAAAAATTCTATAGCAGCCAGAGAGCAGACACATATATATACAGGTAAGAGTCACATCACAACGTTTTTTGGACCTCTTGTAAGCTAAAAGACAGAACAATAACTCAAAATATGAATGAAGTAAGAACTGCAAACTAGAAATCTATACCCACCCAGCAAAGATACTTCCCAAAGAGATGGTAAAAATAAAGAAAACGTCCAACAGACAAAAGTCGAAAGAATAAAGGAAATGATCTCATATAAAATCTGCATGTACTCAAAGGAAATAAAGACACAGAAAGAGCTTCTACGTGGATGAATACACAATGCCACTAAGAGATAATTCACTAAATTAACCCTATCAGTGTATGGTTTATAACATGCATGAAAAGTGGGGAGGGAGGAGGGACAGACAGAGCAGTTTGGGTCTCCTGTGCATGGAGGGATGTGACATTAGTAGAAGGTAACAATGACAAGTTAAAGACCACCCTGTTAACTCCAGAACAATCAGGAAAACACTGAAGAGTTACGGTTACTAAGCCATGGGAAGAGAGAACATGGAACTGTGAGAAACTTAGTTCCCAAAGAGAAAAAGGAAACGGAATGAAGAACAGATGGGACAAGCAGAAAACAAAGACAAGCTGGTAGTTTTAAACTCAGCTATATCAATAATGTCATTAAAATGCAAATGGGTTAAACACCCTTATTAAAGGTCAGAGATCGCCGGATTACAGGGGAAAAAAGCAACACCCAACTATATGCTGTCTATAAGAAATCCATTTTAAACATCAAGAAACATTTTTAAAAACCCATTTTCTTTAATACACTCAAGCTGCTGAGTGCTACTAGGGAAAAATTACACAGATGAGGATATTACTGCTGCTATAAATTCATGGCATCCACTTTGCCTTTTCTACTCCCCACAGCAAATAATCTTAAGACTTCTCCATACTTCTAACTATGGCTGTTTCCTACTTCACAGAAAGGGGGGAAAAAAAACACTCAGCTGCCCACCCTCCTCCCTGTAAAGGTATCTTCCTCCACACTCGTCCCTCCTTTTCACCAAATTCAGAGAAACCATGTTAGGCAGGAGACAGTGTGGGAAACATCCTGGCCTTGGATGCCTTCCAGCCCTAGGAGACCACTAGCACCTCCCGCCTTAACCATACTTCCTGGGCATCTGGGTGAGCCTGAGGGGCATGCGCTCTAACCACCCTGGAGAAGCCAGAGGTAGCCCTGTGGTCATCACAGCATGGAACTGCCCCTCACAGACTCCCACTCCAACGTGGGGCTTGCCAAGAAGCATGGCATCCCTGGCTCTGCCCTGGTCCTGAGACACTGCTCCTCTCGGGCTGCTTCTCCCAGGCTTTTGCTCATGCTACCCTCAAGGACAACTTTAGCAACCACTTCCATGGGGAAGTCTCTCAGACAGCCCCAGAGTCCTCAACCCACAGAGGGCTTGGAGGCCCAAGAAGTCCCAGCTCTGATAAAGTGCACCGCCTCGTTCCAGAAACCCTTGCCCAGCTCTGCACCTACTCTGGACTTAGTGTTCTTGTAACACTCAGTGCCCCATGTGTTCAGGTCACTGTTTCCGTTCAGCCCAGAGGTCCCCCAAAAGCCTCATGCGCTCATAGGTGGGACTTTTTGAAGGAGACTGGACTACGGGGCTTACAGCTAACTTGCTGGTAGGTGGGGTGTAGCCTGAAGAGATGTGTCACTAGGGGCAGGGCCCAGAAGGGTTGATCTCCTTCCCTGGCTCCACCCTTCTCTGTCCACTTCCTGTCCATCATGTGAGGAACAACTTCTCCACCATGACCTCTCTGCTATGGGAGCCTTCCTTGCAACCAGCCACCTATGGACTGAAAGGTTTACAAACTGAACCAAAATAGCCTTTCCTCCCTTAAGTTACTGGTATTGGGCATTTTGTCACAGCAACAAAGGAAGACAAAGTCATCTACCAGATGGGGCCCGGTGTCCATCGTGCCCGCCATATTGTGTCCAGCCGCAGTCCCTTTTTTGAGCTCAGGAAAGTCATATACACTTGGACAGTTTTTCTGGGCCTGGAAAGACTCCAAAATATCCAGGAAATAAAGCTTGCTCCTTCACAAGCTTTATTCTCAAAGCCCAGGTTAGGAAAGAAAGCAAAAATCAAATTAGTTTTAGTCCTTCAGGGGAAAAAAAGCAAAAAGCAACATTCATGCTGGAAAGAAGCTAAAACATAGGCAGGTAGCAGACAAAAGTGCCACTTTCACTGCTTTTACACCGGCAGATAGCCCCTGAATGGTGGCAGTGACGTAGTGCCTCCACCCTGGGTGCTGCACATGCGCTGAGCAACAGTCTGCATGAGGAGTGTGCTCCCTGTTCCGACCAGCAATCCTCCAGCTGGCCGTGCTGATGCACACCTGTAATCCCAGCTCTCAGGAGGCTGAGACAGGAGGATCGTCACAAGTTGAGGTCAGCCTGGGCTACATAGAGTTCTAGAGCAGCCTAAACTACACTGCTAGACCTTGCCTCTAAAAACCAAAACAAAAAACAGTAACAACCCTGGCTCCCACTCAGGGGTCTGTGGTGGTTGAGATCGTCAGCAGATCCTCTCATGTGCCCCCTGCAAGAAAAGCAGCCTCACTCCCCTCTTCTCTGCAGTGGGCAGACTGGCTGTTCCCACAAACAGGTCTATGGGGATTGCAACTACTGAGCTGGAGACCAGGTCATGAAGAGGCCCGGCCACAGCCCACGTGCTGGGCTCTCATGGCCCACATGCTCAGGAGATGCCAGCTACCTTGGGGAACACAAGACGCAGGCCACCTAGCAGGGAACAGAGGACGCCAGCCAATGGCCAGCAGGGAACCAAGGTGCTGGGACCTGGCAAGCGTCTTCCTGAAGGCTTATGTGTTAAAGGCTTGGTCCCCACACCAAGGACTACTGGGAGGAGGTGGGCCTAGCGAGAGGAGTGGAGAGGACTGAGTGTGACCTTGGGGAGGACACTGAACCCGGCGACTTCCTCTTCTTCCTAGCTCTCTCTTGCTTCCCACCACAAGGTGAATGGCTTTGTTGTCTGCCATGATGTGCTGCCTCACCAAAGGCCCAAAAGTAATAGGACCAAGTGGCCATGGGCCAACTCCTCCAAAACTGTGAGTAGAAGTCAATCTTTCGGCTTTGTAAGTCGATGTTACTCTGCTTTCTGTCTCTGCGTCAAAATATCTGAGGTAATATACTTAAAAGGAAAAGTTTATTATGGCTCATAGCTTCAGAGGCCTCAGTCCACGGTCACTGGGCCCTGTTGCCTTTACACACGTGGAAGTACAGTGAATGGGGCAAAGGTGCTCACCTTGTGGGCACTGGGAAGGGGAGAGAGGTGGGCTGTGGTCTCAGTGTCCCCTTCCAGAACACACCCAATAACCTAAATCCTTCCCACTGGGGCCCTTCTACTGAGGATCTGCCGCTTTCCCATCTGGGAAGGGGAGAGAGGTGGGCTGTGGTCTCAGTGTCCCCTTCCAGAACACACCCAATAACCTGAATCCTTCCCACTGGGGCCTTCTACTGAGGATCTGCCGCTTTCCCGTAACACCACAGGCCAGCAACTCAAAACTTTAGCATATGGCCTTTGGGCGACCATCCAGACGCAAACTACTGCGACAGTCAGTTATCTTGCCTGTTTGTTGTGGTGACGCAAAGCTGACTCACTCGAGGCCCAAACAGAGCTAGGGCGTGGGTTTTCCAGTGAGGAGAGTCCTTCAAATGACCGTGCCTGGATTGGGACACCATGACAGCCAGGGCCCTGCCTGTACCTCAGAGTCTGTGAGAGAAAATAACTATCATTTTATGTGGCTAAGTTTTGTGATAATAGGTTCTTCCAGCCTAGAAATTCAGAAGTACAGGTCAAAGCTCCTCATTATGTTCTAGATTCTGGAAACTTCTTTCCAGAAGGGGACATTTCCCAAAGTGTG